GGTTTAAAATGTCAACTTTCCTGCCAGCCGTTCATTTTTATGTTGTAGTTCAGCCTCTGACCACTAGTTGGCAGCAGTGAGACAGCCATTTGGCTCCTCTACCTCTTGAGAGCCAGAGAGTAAGGGTAGCATTAGCATRGTGAGTAAACATTAAGTTCATGCTCCGATAGCTGAATCTGAGCGGAAATACAGACACCCTCTGCCTTCTAAGCTGAGGTAAGGTTACAAACAGTTACTTATTTGTCAGAATGTTTGTGTTTTAAGCCAAATTAAGTATCTCGTGCGCTCTTTTTTCCAACTCTAGTCAGCCTTTACGTTAAGCATATAGCGCATGCGTCTAGCACCTCGAGCTCGGCACTCCCCCCGTGACATAAAACTGTCTGTTGCTCTCAATGTCTGACTGATGATCGCATCAAAGTCCATATACTTTAAGTTTATCCTGCTGTGTTCACTTTAAAAACGRTTTAACTGTGTTGATTAGCTTCTCCATTTATTTACCGTTTATTTTCGGGACTTGCCCTGCTGAAAACATGGATGAAATAAGAAATATGAAACAAAATAAAACACAAACAAAGCAGAACACAGCTAAATGTATCAAAAGTATGTCTATGTAATAGAATTTTCTGAGACAATGAATTTTGTTTTGTTTAGTTTTATTCCCCCCTGTAAGAGGTTTTTATTTAAGAGAATTTTTGGAAAAAAAAATTGCAATATATCACCTTGTTTACAATATCGAAATATATTGGGATATATCGTTTCGTGACCCCTCTGTCATGACATGTATCGTATCGCCAAATTCTTGCCAATACACAGCCCTACAATCGGTCTCGTGTTGTTCATCTGACTGTAATTTTAGGACCAGATGCTTTTAAATAAATTTTGATAAAACCTTCAAAACACAAACATGGTGGGGTAATTAACTTTTACCATGACTGTAGATGGAAAAATCACTGAACTTGCCCTTTTCCTTGGTCAGGTCAAAAATAAACAAGAAAAAAGTTCACAGATTAGATAATACGGGCATGTAAGACCTCATTTTGTAATAACACATTATGTAACAATGTAAAAAAAAAAAAATCAGGCTTCAAAATGTAATAAACTCGCGCTAAAACCGCATTATGTAATAATTGACGCAAAATGTAATAAGTCTTTAACTCTTTATGTAATAGCGTTATTACATTTTGCAACAATTGTTACAAAATGTGATAGTGTAATAATTTGGTGAATTATGTAATAAACAATCAAAAACTAGTATTTCTGTTCATCTTAATCAATATACTTGTAATAACT